CAGGGTTCAAGTTGTGAAGGTTTCTGCGGGGTAACTGTTTGCTGCTTGGAGGGTTAGGTGTCTGAAGATGAGGACACTGTGAAAGTGATTGGATTGTGATCAGAGAGAGGAAAGGGGGTGTGTGTGAGGTTGTAGGGAGTGCAAAGATGGGAGAAAACAAGGTCTAATGTATTCCCATCAGAGTGAGTGGAGGACTGTATACATTGTGCTAATGCAAAAGATGAGATTATGTTGAAGAGTTGGGATGTAGCCGAGTTGTTCACATTAATAGGGATGTTAAAATCTCCAAGAATGATAGTGGGTAGTTCAGAGGAGAGAAAGTAGGGTAGCAGGCAGAGAAATCATCAAGAAAGCGGGACACACCGGTCCAGGAGGCTGATAGATCACTGCAATCCTCAGAGAAATGGGAGAAAACAGCTGAACGCAGTGAGTCTCGAAAGAAGAGAAGGATTGAGAGGGAGGGTTAGGGGGACTTGAAAGGTGCTCAGTGGGGATAGAAGCAAACCAACTCCACCACCTTTCCGACCACTGGGTCTGATTGAGTGGGTCCAGAGAAGGCCTCCATAGGAAATGCTGCGGTAGAAGAAGAATCTGCTGCTTGAAGCCAGGTTTCTGTAATTGCTAGTAGGTTAAGGGAGCGGGAGACAAAAAGGTCATGGACAGAGGTGAGCTTATTACAGACAGAGCGGGCATTCCAGAGCGCACATGAAAAAGGGAAGGTGGTTTTTGGGAGCATGAGGACTGATATTAAATTGAGGGGATTGCGGCTATTCCCGGAAGAAAGAGGATGCCTGGTGTGGTGGTGAGATACTGGAGGACCAGGGTTTGGGGAGATATCTCCAGAGGTTAGGAGAAGAAGAAGGGTGATGAAAATAACATGGGAGTGGGATGTACACGAGTGTACATACCTTCCAGTCCTGGTGTTTGGATCAGCAGGAGAGTAAAGTATCAGCAGGAGCTGATGAGAGCAGTAGTAGGGAGATGGTAGCAGTGAAGGATAGATGTACAAGTTTTGGGGTGGAGTAGAGGGGTAAAGAAATGAGATTTTGGGAACGCCGGATAGTAATATGAAAAGGAGGAGTAGAGGGGACATATTAAAAGGTACACGGAGTGGGACTCAGACTTGTAGGAGATGTTTCCCAGGGTGTTTGCTTGCAGTCTGTCCAGCACGCAGTAGAGTTTCTTGTTGTATCTTCCTGCTGCTTGAGTTACCCTGCTAAAAGGTTTTCCCTCTGTGCTAGAATCACCATTTAGATACTGTATTTGTTTATTGAAATCATATCTCCTCTTAACCATCTCTTCTCCAGGGAGAGCAAGGTTAAAGTTTGTAGTCATTTTGTGTTAACTGAGGTCCTCTAGGCCCCTTATTGGCTTTGTTCCCCTTCTCTGGACTCTATCCAGTTCCAGCACATCCCTCCTGAGGACTGGTTACCAGAATTGGATAGCATACTCAAGATTTCGCTGAACCAGGCTTTTGTAAAATGGTAGAATTATAGTTTTATCTCTTGAGTTATTACCCTTTTTTTTTAAACTAACAATGAGCTAAATAGGAGCGTCAGAGTAAGAATATCCACAAATGAAAACATAGGCCTCTATAGGAGGCAGATGTTACCCACAGGCAGGAAGTCTGAAGAGGAATTGGGGGACTTAGGTCCCCCAATTCCTAAGCAGGGAACGCACGACTCACTGCCAGGAATAGACGAGTGTACGGCACCCGCTTAGGACACATTCAATTCAATAAAAGAACAAACAATACAAAAGTAAACAGTCACTCTGTTTGTGTAATGACTCTGCATGGTAGGCATAGACAGCAAGTCTGACCAAGACATCAGCTTAAAAAGGTGTGAGTTCAAATACCATATAGAGTACATAAAAAAAGGCCTGGAAGTAAGAGGCTGTAGTAGGACACCTTCACCATTTAAGGTTCGGAGAGCCCTGGTGAAAGGGGTTGCAAAGTCCCTGAGGCCCTTGAAGTGTTATGGACCCTCGTAGCCCAGATTGTGTAAAACTTGCAATATAGATCCTTGCATGTGGCCATCCATTCCTCTGCCCCATTACATTATTCACCAGTTTGATCCATTCAGCTTGAACTGGGACTTTTTCCAGTACATAGGGATTAAACGTCGTGCTGCGTTCAATAGATGTGTTAAAATACTTTTCCTATAGTGGCTAAGAGGAATGGAGGGCATATGAAGTAGGAACGGCAGGGGGAGTCAGGAACATCGATGTCAAGGATCAACTTAATTTGATTTCTAATGTCTTGCCAAAAGGGACATAACTTAGGACACTCCCACCAAATATGGAGAAAGGTACCATTGTGACCATCATCTCTCCAGCATACGCCAGACAGGGAGGGGTAAATCATAGCCAATTTAGAGGGGACTCTATACCAGTGAGTAAGAAATTTAAAGCTATTTTCTTGCATCTTTGTATCAACAGAGCTAGTATGAGTTAAGCGGTACAGATGGTCAGGTTGGGAGTTATTACCCTTTTAATGCATGCTAATAGTCTACTGGCCTTCCTTGCTGCAACTTGGCATTGCATGCTATTGCTGAGCCTTTGATCTGCTAGGACCCCCAGATTATTTTCCATCTTCAATTCCCTCAGAGGTTTTCCCCCCCAGTGAGTAACTTGTAGTCATGTTTTTAGCCTCCAAGTGCATTACTTTAAATTTTTCAGTGTTAAAACTCATTTGCCATGTAGTTGCCCACCCCTTTATTTTATTGAGGTTTTCTTGTAAAGTTTCTATATCCTACTGTGACATTATTACCCTGCTTATCTTTGTATTATCAGCAAACACTGACAGTGAACTATTTATACCAACCTCAGTATCATTTATGAACAAATTAAACGGAATTGGTTCAAGGACAGAGCCCTGAGGTACTCCACTTACAACTCCAGACTAGGAGAGGACTGACCATTCGGGCACTTGGGCGCTGGCCAAGGGCCCGGGGCTATTAGTGGACCCCATAAACAGAGCCATCTTCTTGCACAGGCCCCCAGGTGCATTAGGGCCCCAACAGTGGGGATGGTGTGTGGATAGAGCGGGTGATCAGTGCAGCCAGTGGGGGAAATAACTGAAACCTATCTTTTGTGGCTCTCACTGAAGGCCAGCACCATCTCCTACTCCAGTTGCTGCAGTGAGAGCCACAAAAGATTGGTTTCAGTTATTTTCCCTACCGGCTGCACTGATCACCCACTCTATCCACACACAGTTCAGCAGAGAACGGGAAGAAGCCTGTAAATGTAATTTACCCGCCCTTTTCTTAGTGAACACAGTGAGTGATCTGTTCTGATCACTCATTGTATTCATGCATAACTGAACAGGAGCCTCTGTCCCCTGTTCATATATCTGCAGTGCAGCTGAGGCTACAGAGAAAGGGACTGGGGAATGTGTCCTCTCATAAGTGAGATTTAATTGGTCTATTTAGACCCCTATTATCTCACTAATGTGAAAAAATGTAAAAAAAATGATTGCATTAAAATAAAAATAAAAAAATTCAAAATGTAAAAAAAATTAAACATTTGTATTAAAAAAAGTCAGACTAAAATTTCCAATCAGACTAAAAAGCCATGCTCAATATGTGGCATAACTTAGCCAAACCCACCAAGTGCTGCAGGTCACCATCTCCCTGGTAGGGGCCGCAATGCATTACTTTGCCCAGTGGCCCATGATGCTGTTAAAGCGGTACTGTCCATGAGAATCTTCTGGTATGTTTATTGGGTTGCCAGCTTTAACACTCTGCATGTCGCTGAGCTCATTGCCTCTGTGCGCGGGCCTGCAACATTAATGTTGCATAATAAAGATGGCTACCATGCAGTGGCCATCTTTAAACCTGGGAGCCCCATGATCTCCTATTGTCCAGGTCCCCATGAGTTGTCAGTCTGCCATTCAGACCATTCAAAATGTAAGCTAAATATTGCTATAGGCTTAAAAAAATAGTACAGAACAATGTTGTCCAGTAATTTTTTATACAACTTAAATTCCACTTATGTTTAGGAGTAGCATAGCACCAGATTTTTCCATAGACTGCTGACCTCCATTCCAGGAACCAGGTGGAAATCCTCAGTTTTACACTATCCTAACAAATCTAGGTAACCTGAGATTTCAGCTAAATAACGGAAAAAAAGTAAATAGGACTTAATCTCAACATGGTAAAATGGTCTTTATTCCTGGAAGATTCATTTCAAGTTTAAGTATTGCCTAATGAAAGATCTCTTTTAGTTGAAGGAGTTAACCTAAATGTTGAATTTCACTTGCTGGTGACTTCTCTGAGTTGCACATTATAGAAGACTTATTGAAAGACGCACTCCCCAGTATTTATAATTTTGCTACGTCTTGGGTTTTAGATTGGACACGTGTTTGCAATACTGGAATTTTCAGGATTGCTATGACTCAGACCTGATTCCAGAAGAATTGCTCATGGTGTGTATGTTTACAGATGGGTCCCACACATCTTCCTCCTGACCTTTCTAACTGGAATTTATGTGACCAAAAAAGGATGTTTTCCATTTTTTTGATTAACCGCTATTTCATTTTCTGTTTCATTATTATTTTTATTATTATTATTGGTTTACTGAATTTATATAACACCAACAGTATTATAATTTTGTAGGTAATATATAAAATCAGGCTTGCTCTGCTACTGTGGTTATTTGAAATTCAATATTTTATTTATTTTAAGCAATAAACTAATAAGGCAGAACGTTTATTTTTTGTTTACTGTAAACAGTTTTGCAGATAAAATACAATTGATTATTTTTATTACTATTTGTTTCCAATTTATATTTTAATACTGCAGATGTCATAGTTCTTGTTATTGCCTGAGAAAATATGTGGTGCTTCTAAAATCATCCTAAATAATATTAAAATAATAAACGTAAAATGATTATAAACATAAATATTTCAGAATTACGAATCAGAATATTTCACCTATACGAGGTAAAAATGTCTAATTCTTTTAATATGAACATATGTTTTTTTCCCTATAATGATACAGGGGAACTGAATTACCAAGTGCAATCACCGGATGAAGGTGCATTGGTTACCGCTGCTCGAAACTTTGGATTCATATTCAAGTCCCGAACACCTGAGACCATTACTGTGCAAGAAATGGGGAGAATTGTAACATATCAACTGTTAGCAATTTTAGATTTTAACAATGTCAGGAAAAGAATGTCTGTCATAGGTAAGATATTTTTTATTTGCATGTTTCTTTTCATAATGTGTCTTCCTGTGCCTTCTTGCTGGTCTCCTCTTTGCTTGTCTGGAAATAGTTCAAGCCTTAACTTAAACATAGTCAAAATTTACATAGGCTTGGACTACATTTGAAGTAAGTTTCTTTTTTTTTTCATACAAAATTTTTATTATTTTCACAGAATATACAATACAGAGATAGTTCGTACTATCGCAAAGAAATACCAAGATTGTATATAGGGTATAAGAAAAAAATAATAAAACAATAATACTAGGAATACACAGTTTCAACTTCCTAACAATCTTACAACTGTTCAGCCATATGTTCATGAATACAATATTTTACACGAATAAGCGTATTCCATGAGTAGAGTGTACTAACATAATAAACAGTACAAATAGAGAAAGGGAGAACAATTACATAATCAATTGTGCAAAGGTCTGGCGTAGGTACTTGGTATATTTAAATTCAATATAGGTAATACATCTATATGTGAATTATGTAGGGTTCAATCCAACTGTCACGTACCTTACTTGTGAGCCTGACGGCGGAGCAAGGCCTCTCATACAGCTCCGGTTCGAGGGCCACTGAAGGTGGAACAGCAACTACAAGAACATGGTGGGGTATGAGTGCCTGGTCAGTCCTGTAGTCTGTGCGGGAATTGCTGGCACTACGCTGGCAGATGGGATGGCTGAACCGGCTGGCAGCAGAGCAGGCAGGCAGCAGCAGACAGACGTCACAGCAGGCTGACTGGTAGCAGAGCAGGCTGGTAGCAGAGCAGGCAGGCAATGAAGCAGGCTGGTAGCAGACTGTATGAAGGGTCAGACAAGCTGGGTTGGTAACAGATAGGCAGGTCAGGCATGAACGGTAGGCAGAATAGTCAGGTCACAAGCCAGGGTCAGTGATGGTGGAAGTAGATCAAGCAGAGTCAGAAGGCAGAGGCGGAGTCCAAGAAACAAGCTGGGGTCAATCACAGGTAATCACTCACAGGAACAGGAATACAGGCGGGGGAGCTGCAGATCAGACAGCACAGGCTAATAGTGCTGCTGGATTTAAATAGTCTGATTGGCACCAACATTAGCAACAGGCTGTGAACTCAAATGCACACAACTATGTGCAGCAGAACGGGCCCTCGCACACTTGTGCCGCTGTGCACTATGGCAAGCATCTTCCTGACACCAACAATAGACTTAGGAGTAGTCATTCCAGATCTTCCATTGGCGTTCGATTAAAATTCTGGTACCCGTTTGTTAGCAAGCAAAGATTCATAAAGATAGTTTGTACGTATAATCTCTAATACACTGTAAAGGTTCGGGGAGAAGTTAGATTTTCAGTTTTTAACTATGAGTAATCTAGCTGCTAGTAGAATGTGGATCACCACTGAGCGACAGAACATAGGGAATTTATCAATCCCCAAGTTTAAGATTGCAAGGCCCGGTTCAGGAGATGTGATGATGCCCATTAAGCGAGAAATAAATCGGAAAACAGAATTCCAAAAACTGGTTAAAGTTTTACATGACCAGAAAATGTGTATAAGATGCCCCACCTCATCACAGCCCCTCCAACACATAGGGAAAGCTGATTTAATGAATTTGGACATTCTAAACAGGGTAAGGTACCAACGTAGGGCAATTTATTGTGATTGTTCCCAATGATTCACACAGTTGGAAGCTTTATAGAGTAGTGTAAAAGCATGTCGCCATTGGTCAACCGAGTAGGATTTGCCCAGGTCTATCTCCCATTTTATGTAGGGGGGAGGTCTTAACAAATTTGGTTTTATCTTGGAAAAGATTATAGACTGTGGAAATTCCTTTGGTTTGAGGTGTTTGAGCAGAAAAGTATTTCCAAGCCACTAATGGGAGAAATATTTCCTGTCTAGGAAGAGTTTTTAAAAAATGTCTTATTTGAAGGTATTGATACAGGTCCATTGGGGTAAGGTTAAATTCTTTGGATAATACATCAAACGTTTTATGTACTTTGTTGGTGTAGAGATAGTCTGGATACTTTTATCCTGCTACCCTACAAGAGAGATATTGGGTATCAAGTTTGATAGAATGGATATAGAGATGGGGATAGATGTCGAATTAGAAGAGGAATAGGAAATCTTACAGAGATCTCTCCAGGCTAAGATAGAGGCCTGTGTTGGTAGGGGAAAGGACTGGATTGGGTATGGGCACCAAGAATCAATTAGTAGAAGAGATTTGATGTCAGTTACGGGGCATAAGGAGACCTGAACTTCTTTCCACAATGATTCAGAAGATGTATTAAACCAGTGTTTCAGTTGTGAAAGTTGCGAAGATTGAAAATAAACATATATATATCTATCCATCCCATGCCACCTGCTTTTCTATATTTATTTAGATATTTCTGTGCTCGTCTAGGAGGCTTACCTTGCCAGATACATTTTTTTAATATAGATCGTAGAGATTGTAGATGATTACGTTTGAAGGGAAGGAGAAGTGTGCGGAAAATTTATATAATTTGGGGTAGGAGAATCATTTTAAAGGCAGCTAATTGTCCTGACCATGAGAGTTCCACTTTGGTCAGTCGATCAGTTTATTTGGTAAATTTTTTTTATTAATGCAGAATAATTAACGTCTGCCAAGTGTGCGGAGTCTGATGCGAGTTGTAGGCCCAAATATGAGATATCCAAATCGCTCCAGAATTAGGGGTATGTACTCTTAAGTTGTTTTTCATCTGTGATGAAAGATTCTGTTCTAGAATTACTGATTTTTTAAAATTAACCTTATAGTAGGACACCTGGCCAAAAGTTATAAGAGTGGAATGAGCGTTCCCTAAGGATACAGAGGGGTTGGTTAAGAACAGAACTACATCGTCCGCGAAAAGGTTTATATTGTGGGATCTATTTTTAACAGAGAAGCCATATATATGGGGGTGCGTTCTAGAAGTAATTTGTCTTTTGACAATCATTCAGTGCTCACACAAAATCATCAGAACCTTCCAGAGAGGCCACCAATTTACCATTATTGTGTGAATAGGGGGTTGATTTGGTAGTGGAGGTGTTAATATACAGTGTATTAATTTTATTTTAAGCTTTTACTTTTTTGCATTTGCTTGTTCATGGGGTAACTGGATCAAGTTATTTTTTCTTTCATAATATCCATTGGTCATTGCTATATGTCTGCTGCTACAAGAAGAGTTAGGGCAGCACTGCAATGTTTCCAGTTGCCATCAGTACTCTCCCTGAATCTCTGGAAAATGCTTATTTTGTCAGAGAAATGTCATCATAATTTGGCATACTGCAATGATGCACTACATTCAAGCCAGCCTTTTCAGCCATGTGTTCTGTCATTGATCTGTGTGGGACCTGCTGACTCCCACCACACCCCAAACACTAGATCATATGTCCTTCTGGATTAAGTAAACTCCAGATTGGCTTATATATATTGATCAGGATCAACAAGACGTACACTTTCTAACTTTACTTGTTTACTGTGCACTTTTTTTTTTTTTTTCTTTTATCAAATGAAAACCTAGGTAAATTGTAAAAATCATAAAATGTTTCATTTTCAGCAGTACTGAGCAACTCTGAGACACCATAGTAGAGCACAGCGAGACAGGACTGATAGTATAGAGCAGTGGTTTCCAAACTGCGGCGTTTGCTTGCCTTTTTATCTGACCCTTGGGGCACTATTCCTCCAACTGACACCAATTATTGGGAACTATTCCTCCCACTGACCAATGATGAGAATTCTACTCCCACTGGCCACAGTCTGGCCTCCCAAAATCCTGAAGGACAGTAATCTAGTCCTCTGTTTAGAAAGTTTGGAGACCCCTGTTATAGGGGAAGTGTTTTAATATATTTTTAAATCTTTTTAGCTTTTGTAAATATGTTGATAAGTGGTTAGGAATACTTTTATGAAATGTTTGTGAAAAGATATATACTTGTGTTCTCAAGGGCTTTTTTTTATTATGTTTAGTACTAAAACTATAACTTTTTAAAATAATTTTTAATGCATATTAATATTTAATATTTACCATTTGTAACAAGCAGATGGATCTTTGTGATAGTTTTATGCTATGTAAAGTCATTTCCGCACAGCTCCTGTGAATTTGTCAAAGGAGGGTGACCCCCTCCATCTCTGCTGACAAAGCATACTCACCGAACAATGCACATTATAAAAATGCGTACTGGTACAATTAAGGTTTTTTACAAAAAACACACTATATTGCTGGCACATCATCAGTTTTTCTGTACTTCCAGTGTGTTTAAAGCAAATATACTTATATATTGCAGGGAAGTACAAAATATGTTTTTGATCATTTTGCCTTGACGTGCGTTAGGTATCTGGCATCCGATGCCTGAACAAACTGGTGGGTTAGTGATGGAAAAGTGAGTATATGCTGCTGGGAAGGGCGACATTACAGAGAACCTTTGGCTTGGCTTTGTATGGTTTCCTTTAAAAAAGTGTGAAATTATGTACATATTCCATTTCAATAATTTAACAAAAGTGGAATTCTCTATTAAACTAGCAGAGACAAATTGCTCTGATTTCTTTGGACATTTTTGATCTCAGTAGACAAGAGCTAGCTGCTTTGTTCTGATAGATACAAATTCCAAGCTGATCAAAATCAGATCTTCCCTCAAATAAAATAGTTATATTTAGAAAATGCGTATTCTTCGCTTTGATTTCTGTCTCCACATTTTTTCAGTTTTGTTTCTCCTAGCACTGTCTACCTCTTTTTGGACAAGTCCCATGTTCTTTCCCTCATATTCTCCCCTTTGGCTCCTCTTAAACTCCTGTCTCAATCTCCCTTTTTTGTTTTCTGTGTTTGTCTGGTCTTTTCTCTGTTAGTGTTATCTGATTATTTTTGTATGTACAGATGAAAAAAAGAATCATGTTAGCACAAAAACGATTCATAAATAATAGTAAATTTTAGCTTAAAGCTAAACGCCAAGCAGATATTAAAAAAAAAAATTGCAGCTCTGTATTTATTACTGTAAATGTAAACCATTATATTTATTTTAT